ATTTACATTGTAATTGCCTAAGGTTCTTAAACTTCAACCCCATAACTTGATTACTTCCAAAATCTTTGGACTTTCACCAATATCTTTCTTTTACATCATATCTTTCTATCGAATACCACCTGATGGACTTCATATCCTACCGATACAAATGAAAGGATGTAGGAGAAATATAATGATGAATTTCCAACATTTTTTGAAGTAAATCAAGTTTAGGGATGAAGTTTAAGAACCTTGGATGATTGCAATGAAAATTTAATGCAAAATGATGTAGTTTGATGAGGTTAGGTACCTAAGCTTATATAAGGTTGTTAGGTATATTCACTTTACCCATATATATATATATATATATATATATATATATATATATATATATATATATATATATATATATATATATATAGTTTATTATTATTAATAAATGTTTATAGTTTTAAAAAAGTAAAATAGATCATATCCTTGATATCTCTCTTAACTTTATCTTAATTAAAGATTAGTTTTTTAACTACTAGACACAACTTAACTGTTAATTAAAAAACTAATTTATCACTTTTTACCTATAAAACCAACTAAAAATAATGTATTTTACTCACAAACGGCTCAACCCAAATCAAACTTTTATATTATATTTATTAAAATTTTATTATATTATACAAACTACATATTTTATTATTATTTTATAACTTTTTTTTCTCCCTATTTTTAAGATTATACAAACTATATAAAAGAAATCGTTAAAAAAATCTAAAAATATATCAACGTTGGTCTTTATTCATAGACAAAATCATTTTAAGTATTTTGATGATTTTATTTAGTTTTTAATAAAAAAAACTAGTTACCAAATAATAATTATCTTAAAAAATTTTATAACTTTTTTCCCTATTTTTAAGATTATACGAACTATATAAAAGAAACAAAAAAAAAATCTTAATATATATCAACGTTGGTCTTTATTTATAGACAATCATTTTAAGTATTTTGATGATTTTATTTAGTTTTTAATAAAAAAAAAACTAGTTACCAAATAATAATTATCTTAAAAAATTTTATAACTTTTTTCCCTATTTTTAAGATTATACAAACTATATAAAAGAAATTTTTAAAAAAAATCTTAATATATATCAACGTTGGTCTTTATTGATAGACAAAATCATTTTAAGTATTTTGATGACTTTATTTAGTTTTTAATAAAAAAAACTAGTTACCAAATAATAATTATCTTAAAAAATTATATACAAACAAATAAAAAAAAGGCCGATTAAACGTATAGTGGAGTAAACCGGTCGTGAGTTTTAGAGGAATTTTTTTATTTTTTTATTCCAAACGTGACAACCGATCAAACATTTGATTGTCAATGAGATAAGTCTAAAAGCTCGAAGAAAACTAAAACCTTTGGAACTCCATCCATATCATTTTGGTGATTTTATATCATCAAATATTATTTAAGTGTAATAGGATTAAATTTGTTGACCAAAAATGATCTTGTTGAATATTGAACAAGTTAGGATGGTGTAGGAGTGCACACTTGTTCAAGTTTTTCAATATTTAAAGTACATTGCTATTTAGGGGAGAAGCCCCTAAACGAACGGGGGTCCGGGGGCGTCGCCCTTGGGAGCGGGGTCATAGGGGCGGCAGCCCCTAGCGGGGTCTAAGGGGCAGAGCCCATGGCTGGGATCAAGCTATATTAAAATTTGCATCAAAAATCCAATTTTAGAAAGTTGATCGTTTTTTCCCTGAGATCCGTTTAATGACAGTTTGGTAGTTTTATGACAGTTTGTAACTATCTGTTGACAGTTTTCAGACAGGATTGATATATCCGTTTTTTGGTCAATATTCTGGTACATGTTGAAGAACATTTACATATACATTCTCATATTTCATTCTCTGAATTTCATCCAATTGAGTGTTCGATCTGTACCATCAAAATACTTCAATTTGATAGTGAATCACAACTTTCAGAGAATCCAAGCAATCTATTCATCCCTTTTTTCTAACATATCATACTACTATAAGGGACGTCGGAACTCAGGAAGAAAGAAAAATGGACGGCGGCACCGTTAGGGGAGTTGTTCCGTCGACTGGGGGGTTGGACATTTGGCTTGCAACATGGGTGGAGGAACCCGTAATTCCTCTATACAACGCCTATATATTGTATTCTTTCCATTATAAATACTTTTACCTACCAATTTAGAACCATATATTTCTTTCTTCAATTTCCATTCCATATATATATATATATATATATATATATATATATATATATATATATATATATATATATATATATATATATATATATATATATATATATATAGATGTTGGTTCCCTTGAAATTAATAAAAAGTTAGAGATTGAGAGATAGTTGCATTGCCATTTGATTTTATGATCTTTAGGGTTAGTACTGTAATTTTACAAACAATTATATCATTTTTGCAGAGGCTACGAGATTGTAATCGTCTATACTCTTCTTTGCTTTCTCGATCAAAATCTCACTTAGAAACTCTCATAAAAACCCTATTTTTCTTTTTTTTATCGCATTTTGTTAGTCGTACAAATTAAGTTGAAAAATCAGTAAATGTATTCGGCAGAAAATCTAAACGTGTCCCATCTTCGTTAATCGAAATGAAATGTTAGAATATGATTAATTTTTGATTTTATTGATAATGCATATTTATTTAATTATTTAACTATAGTTTCCGTTAATAATGATGATTTTTGGTTTAATTCAATAGTTTTTTTCGTCATTTTTGCTTGATTTTGATGATTTTTTTGTTTACAGTTCATCGGTTTTTTATTATGTTTGTTTGTGGTGGTTTCTGATTTAAGTAGTTGTTTATGTTTTCACTAGATAAGGATTTTGTGTTTGAAAAAAGTTCAAAAAACAAAAAAAATCTCAAAGGTGGTAGAAGTTGTGTCATTTCCAAAGGTACAGTAATGTTTCTGTAATGTTTTTTATCGCACTTTTCTTCTATTATTTTTTATTCACAACTAATGATCATATTTTGTGGTTTTGTATTTCTATGTATCCAACGTGAATATGAAGATGTTTCTAGCGAAGTAAAAGAGAAAAATTCAAAGAAAAGAAATGTTAAAGGTATGTGTTGTAATCATAACTGATTTTATTAATATACAATGGAGTGATATTTTATAGTTTTAGTTATAATTTATTTCTATTTCTAATCATAAATGATTTCATACGTTTGTTTATGTAGGAAAACAAGCTCAATATGAAGATGATTCTCTGCAATCAAAAGAGAAAATGTCAAAAAATAGTAATGATAAATGTATGTTTTTATAGTCATTAGTGATTGTGTGAGTTAAAATCATAGTTTATTAGTCATATACATTTTTGTTCTGTATTAATAACTAATTATGTTAATTTTTTTGTAGTAAATGTTTCTGTTTCTGAAAAGAAGAGTGAAGATGTTTTAGAGAAAAAATCCAAGGTTAAAAATGATAAATGTATGTTTTTGCAATCATAAGTGATTATGTTTCTTCATTTGTAACTGATTATATGTATTTTGTTTTCTTTTTTACTAACACTATTTTTCTAATAAAAATTGCAGTTAAAAAAAGGTACTTTTAAAAAGAATGTATCAATAGAAAGCTCAAGGCAAACATGATCATATTCCAAAAAATAAAAGGCAAAGGAAGTGGTGCAAACACGATCAAAGAAATCCAAAAAAGCAGTTATTGAACAACCAAAAGTGAATCTGACCGTTAATGGAAAAAAATATTTTTGGAGAAGGTCAAAACCATAAGTAAGAAATGTGAACTACCTGATGAAGATGATTCTGATTTTCAGATTCGTCCTGGATCTTCAGAGAAATCAAAGAGAGAAGCTAAAATTGTGAAGAAAGAGAAAAAAGTTGTTATAAAAGAATCTCCTTCATTGAAGAACAAATGCTCACCTGAGAGAACATAAGGAGTGTGTTAGGGCTATGGGATTTAAGAGTTTGTTACGGATGAAGATGATTGACGTAGCGTTAAAGATTGTTTATTATGTTCTTGATCATTTTAATTTTGAAACTTTAAAGGTTGAGTTTGAGAGTTATCAAGTTAGTGTTGATGGTAAATATGTTTATGAGATGTTAGGATTACATTTCCGAGAATGATGAAGAGAGTTGTATGTTTGAGTGGAAGAAACAGTATGGAACTGTTGATAAATTGAGATTGAAACAGCTAAAGAATAAACTTGTTCGAACTAGTGCAACGAATGATAACTTTAGAATCAATTTTTTGGTTCTATTTATTAATACATTATGTAAGTCTACAAGCATGGGTAAATGTAATATGTATCCATTATATTTAATCAGAAGAGGTACTGATTTAAGTAACATTAACTGGTGCGATTTCATTGTCGATTGTTTGGTAAGGACGAAAAAGGTTTACAACCTAGAGAAAGAATCGTCTTTCTTTTATTGACCAACAACATACCTTATAGTACGTGAACTAATTTTTAATATTAAATTTTTTTAGTTGTAATAATATGTTTGTTTTTATTTTTAAGCGTATATGATTGTATAATCATATATGATTAATCATCTATTACACAACATATATATATATATATATATATATATATATATATATATATATATATATATATATATATATATATTATGATTAATGATATATTTGATTTGTATAAATTTTATATGATTGTATAATCATATATGATTATTCATATATTATGATTAATGATATATTTGATATGTATATATACATATGAATAATCATATATGATTATGCCGTGTAATATAATTAATAATATATTATTATACATATATATTATTATTAATTATATATTAAACTGTATAATCATATATTTTTAGAAAGTTAACTTATTTGATATATATATATATATATATATATATATATATATATATATATATATATATATATATATATATATATATATATATTTGTAGTTGTTGTATGTGCATAGTTTCAAGTTTGATCATTTGCAAGTCATACATAAACATCCAACTATTTTTTAATGGATGTCAAAAAAGATAAGGCTTCTTGAGGATATTTTACAAGAGGATGGAGGATTTGGATGTGGAGATGTTAATGAACCATATATTGAAGTAGAATGTCATGAATCTGAGTATAATGAGGACGGATCTAGTGGTGATGAGGATGAATGTGATGGTGATAAGGATTTATCTGATGAGGATGAAGAAGAATTTGATGTTAATAAAGTTAGTGTTGTGGAGGTAATTTTCTAGTTTTATTCATTTATGATTTCATTAGTGTATTCATTTATGACTTTTTTTGATTAAGTATTTATTTTTAAGTATCTTTTTTTATGTAGGTGTATGAAACTAAAATTTCATATATGTATCAGATGATGGAGGATTTGAAAAAGGATCTTGTTGTAAAGATAGATTAGGGAGTGTTGAAGTTTTAGGTTCCACATAAAATGACTACTTGAGTCAATCCCAGATCACAGTTCATAGTCACTTGTAACAGTAACTACTTCACATGAAATGACGATTAGGGTTCCATATAAAATGATGGTTAGGGTTAAGTAAGGACACTTAACCCATTAAGGACTTAACCACCTAAGAGTAGGATTGATTAAGGTTGGACCTAGTAATTCTCGAGTACAATAATAATCCAAGAAATAGCTCAAAATAGGGCTTCCCATTTCCAGGGTTTCCTACATAATATGACATCCCTAATTTCACAGCCAGAAAAGAGCGATTTGTTTATGCTTTATTTGAAAATCAGAGTATACTTTTGAAGCAATATTTAGGGAATTCGTTCCAAAAAATATGATAAAGAATTTATCAAAGCATTTCCGAATAAATATATTTTCATTATATTAAAAGCCTCGGGATGTCATTGTTAATACATATCAAAAGCATAAACAGAAACAACATAGGCCTTACAACATTCTACTTATTTCTATTGACCTATAATCCATAATTGTAACGACCCAATTTTCACGTCCAAAAATTTCATTTTTGATTAAGTGATTTGCAAAACATTTGTAACAAAATATCATCCGATCATATCATTAAATAAAAACATGTCTCGTATTTGAAAACCAAATCGTAAAACATAATAATGTCAGAGTAAAAATCCTAGAATACCTCATAATGCGGAAAACAAAGAGTGTGTGTATGATGTACCTGCTACCACACCAGCTCATTCCCCTTCGCTGAAGAGGTACCTGAAACCAAAACTTTAAACTGTAAGCACGAAGCTCAGTGAGTTCCCCCATCGTACCATATTCCATACAATCACATATCATACATACTGCCGGCCAATTCTGGGGTGCCCAACCTATCCGGTACGGCCATTCTGGGGTGCCGACCTACCCATGCGGCCACTCTGGGGCGCCGTCCTACCCATGTCAAGCCATTCTGGGGTGCTGACCTACCCGTCGGTCCTAACAACCGAACTTGGGGACTATTCCCCTCCTACAACCGCTATCACATATAACCTATCATGCCAACATATAAACATATAAGCACCTATTATCATACATATCTGGGGTGTCTGACCTACCCTTCGGTCCTAACAACCAAACTCCACTACTGTCACATATAACATATCATGCCAGCATATAACATATCAAGTAGTAGCAAACCTAGATGATATCACAAAGACAATCATCTAATCGTACAACTCCTACCGGTGGGCGACATTGTGGCCGTAGACCCACCGTTACTGGAAGGTAACTCACCTCGTAGTAGCTGCTAATCTATGCGGGTATCATCTGACTGCTGTCGCTGCTGCTCCAGAAATCCTCCAACTATAATCCCCACAAAACACTTATTCAAACACTGCTAACTGTTCTTAGGGTAAAATGACCATTTTACCCCTGAGCAAGTCAAAGTCAAAGTCAACTTCTATTTGACCTGACTTATCGAGTTGGCTTGCCAACTCGCCGAGTCCTATGAAATTTCAGAACAATGGCTTAGTCTGAAACGTTAGGTCACTCCCTGGGACTCCCTAGAACCTTTCCACACTCAACTGGGTCCTTTCGACCCTCAACTGATATGGGACAAAAACCTTGGACTCGCCGAGTCCAAGGATGGACTCGTCGATTCGGTCACATCCACTCACTAAATCTTTGATTTCTGACGTACAACCCTTGATAAAAAAGGTAGATCTAAGCTTCTACAATCGATCTAGCACGTAAAGTTACAAACTTTACATGCATGCATGGGACTTTGAGCTCAAAAGGTCCTAAAACTATCTCTTACAGTGCATGGGGCCTTCTTTGAGTGCAAAAGCCACTCCTTTCTGCCTTGCAACCCCTCTAAAGACCTAGATCTGAAACATCAACTCCTAACCATGCTTGCAATCATGGTTGGTGACCAAAATGGCTTAGAAAAGCCCTAAAACTCCACAAAATGGGACCTATCAAAAGAACAAACAAGGTATAGACTTTATACCTTCTGAAGACTGCAAATGATGCTCAAAGTCGGATCCTTCTAGCCTCCTCTTGATACTTCAAGCTTTTCCTTCCTTCCTTGGAACACAAAACACCAAAATCACACCAAATGCCTTAGATTGCTTCAATAACGGCTAGGGTTTGTTATGGGGGTCTTCTGGGAGCAAATGGGATGAAGGAGGTCGAGTTAAGGTGTTTAAATACGGTGCAAACCCTCAGGATAGGGTTTTTGTCCAGACAGGGCCTACTCGCCGAGTCCATAGCTTAAACCCTGCATCTCATCCTGCTTCTACTCGGTGAGTTAGTCCTTCAACTCGCCGAGTCCAAGGCCAAAATGCAAAAAATATAAATAAAAGAATACGTACCAAGAACCAGGTGTTACAAATCCCCTACTTATTTTAGACTTCATCCTCGAAGTCTGCAGCTCAATCCTGAAATGGCTTGGGGTAATGTTTCATCATCTCGTCCGCCGGCTCACAAGTCCACTCTGACCCCTTCCGGTGCTGCCATTGCACCTTCACGAGTTCCACTTTTTTGTTCCTCAAATCCTTTGAATTTCGGTCGAGGATTGCCACCGGTCGCTCAATGTAGTTCAAGCTGTCATCAACCTGAATGTCCTCCAAGGGTACCACTGCTGAGGCGTCCACCAGGCACTTTCGAAGCTGAGAAACATGGACATTGTTGTGTATCTGACTGAGTTCGGTTGGCAAATCTAGCCTATACGCCACCTTGTCCACCCGGGCTATAACCCTGAACGGTACAATATACATGGGGCCCAACTTGCCCCGCTTCCTGAATCAGATAATGCCTTTCCATGGCGACACCTTCAGGAGAACCATATCCCCGACCTAGAACTCCAGGTCTGATCGGCGCTTATCGGCATAGCCTTTTTGCCGACTTTGAGCAGTCTGAAGCCTGCTCCAGACCTGCTGAATCTTCTCTGTCATCTTGAGCACTAACTCAGTTCTCCCCATTACCCTCTGGCCAACCTCGCCCTAACATATCAAGGTCCTGCACTTCCTCCCATATAGCATCTAGAAGGGAGGACGATCAATGCTCGCATGATAACTATTGTTATAAGAGAACTCTACCAATGGAAGGTAGGTATCCCAACTACCTCCGAAATCTAATACGCATGCTCGCAGCATATCCTCCAGGGTCTGGAGGGTCCACTCGCTCTGACCATCCATCTGCGGGTGAAAGACGATGCTAAAACGCACACGAGTACCCAACTCGTCATGAAACTTCCTCCAAAACCTGGAAGTGAGCCGCACATCCCTGTCTGAAATCACAGAAACTGGCACACCGTGCCATGCCACCACCTCCCGGATGTAAATGCCGGCCAACTTCTCGGCCGAGATGCTCTCCTGAATCAGGATAAAATGGGCGCTCTTGGTCAATCGATCGACGATGACCCAGATCGAATCCACTCCCCGCGCGGTCCTTAGAAGCTTGGTGATCAAATCCATCGTGATGTCTTCCCATTTCCACAATGGAATATCCAACGACTGCATCTTGCCGTGAGGTCTCTGATGCTCAGCCTTGACCTTCCTGCAGGTCAAGCACCGCTCCACAAACAATGCCACATCCCGCTTCACGCAGGGCCACCAGTAGTCCATACGAAGATCCCTATACATCTTTGTCGCCCCCGGATTAATGGAGAACCAAGATTTGTGTGCCTCCTCCATCAGAACCTAGTGCACACCCCCGTGGTATGGCACCCACACCCTACGATGTAGTGTCAGGAATCCTCGGTTGTCATAGTCGAAGGAGGAAACTTGCCCCACGATCCGCTCTCTCTTCCGATGTTCCTCCTTCATGGCCTCCTGTTGGGCCTCTCGAATCCGCTCCAATATCGGAGTCACCACTGTCATCCTCAAGCAGATATCCTTGATCGGCGTTACCTTGCGACTAAGCGCGTCGGCCACCACATTGGCCTTACCCGGGTGATAAAGGATCTCACAATCGTAATCCATTACTACGTCCATCCACTGACGTTGCCTCATGTTTAGATTCGGCTGATCCATGAGGTACCTCAAACTCTTATGGTCCGTGTAGATGGTACAGTGAACCCCATAGAGGTAATGACGCCAAATCTTGAGGGAGAATACAACAGCCCCCAACTCCAAATCATGCGTCGGGTAGTTCACCTCGTGAGGCTTCAGCTTCCTCGACGCGTAGGCGATGACATTCCCTCTCTACATCAATATTGCGCCCAAACCTGAAATAGACGCATCGGAGTACACAACAAAAACCTTCATGCCCTCTAGCAGAGCTAAGATTGGCGCCTCGCACAATCTCTGTCTTAGTGTCTCGAACACAGCCTGCTACTTAGGCCCCTAACGAAAGACCACGACCTTCCTTGTTATCTTGGTCAGGGGTACGACTATCTTGGAGAAATCCTGGATGAATCTCCAATAGTTTCCAGCTAATCCCAGGAAACTCTGAATCTCGGATAGAGACTTCGGAACCTCCCATCTCATCACGGCCTCCATTTTGGCCGGGTCTACTGAGATCCCGTTCTGGTTGATGAGATGCCCAAGGAACTGCACCTCGTGCAACCAGAAGTCACACTTGGAGAACATAGCATACAAGTTCTCTCTCCTCAAAGTCTCCAGAACCTCTCGGAGATGCTCCTCGTGCTCCTCCTACATCTTGGAGTAAACCAAGATATCATCAATAAACTGTTGGATTAGTGTCTAAGTCCATAACTATTTTGGTATGTACTTGACCCGATGGTGCATGGTCCTTTTGGGTTGCCTTCACCAAAGCAACTTGATAGGATAAATTATGGAGAGAAAGGATTAAATATGATTTATTAATATATTATGAGAATAATATATTAAAGGAGAAATCATATTGTTTAATTAATATTAGTCAAGAATTAATTGGTAATTAGTTTTGTGACTAAAAGAGATTAATTAAACTTAAGGGACTGGAATTGTAATTATAAGATAATTGCAATTTGGGCTATGGATTGCCTT